CTCCCGGGTTCCATGCTAAGTTCCCCGACAACACCGTCTGGCAGCTGAAGCGACCGGTCTATGGCCTGAAGCAGGCACCACGAGAATGGCATGCGAAGCTATCTGCTACTCTCCAGTCCCTTGGCTTCTCCCCCTCCCACTCCGACGCCAGCCTCTTCATCCGCTCTTCCCCCAGTCGCTTTTTCATCTCGGTCTACGTTGACGACATGATCCTGCTGGCGGATTCCAGGGCCGACATGGACCAGATGAAGCGGTCACTTCAGGAACGACTCAAGTGCAAGGACCTTGGTCCCCTCCAGAACTACCTCGGCATGGCTATCACCCGTGATCGATCCGCCCGCACCATCACTCTCTCCCAGTCCCACTACATCGGCCAGGTCCTGGAGAGGTTTGAGATGGCGCAGGCCAAACCAGTCTCCACCCCCCTCCCCTTCGGTCACCAACTTGCGCCACCCACCTCCCCCTCCTCCTCCTCCCGGCCCTACGCCGAGCTCGTTGGGTCGCTGATGTACGCGATGATGTGCACCCGCCCCGACCTCGCCTACCCTGTCAGCGTCCTTGCTCGGTTCGTCGGCCCTGGACGTCACACTGAGGAACACTGGGCTGCCGCCAAGCGGGTCCTTCGCTATCTCTGCGGCACCAAGGATCACGCTCTCACACTGGGTGGATCCTCCCCTCCCCTTCTCTCGGGCTTCAGTGACTCCTCCTGGGCAGACAATCAGCCAGACCGCCGCTCCTCCCAAGGCTATGGCTTTACCCTCGGCAGCGGACTTATCAGCTGGCGTTCCACCCGCTCCTCCGCCATCGCTCTCTCTTCCTGCGAAGCTGAGCTCTATGCGGGCACCATGGCCGCTCAAGAGTCCCGCTGGCTCTGCTTTCTTCTGGCAGAGCTTGGTGCCCCCCAGCGCTGTCCCACGCCAGCACCATCCACCTCACCCAGGATCCAGTCTTTCATGGTCGCTCCAAGCATATCGAGCTCCGTTATTTCTTCATCCGCGACCTCGTCCGACAGAATCTTATCGCCGTCCGCAAGATCGCCACTGAAGCCAATTTGGCGGATATCTTCACCAAAGCACTTCTTCGCCCCGCGCACTCTGCTCTCCTCCGCCTCATTGGCCTCGCTCCTCCAGGAGCGCCTTGATTCAGGGGTTGCTGCTCTCCAGCCTTTCCGCATCTCTGCAGGTTAAGGGGTTGTGTTAGAATATCTCCTCTCTTGTAACCTGCATATATGCTATAGGATAGGCTAGAGATAAGCACCCAAACTTAGTTTGGGTGTACAAGCAGGGGTTACCCAATTTGTAGGTTGGAAACCCAACCTTGGTCCAATTATTGGACCCCAAGGGTTGGGATGGGTAGAATTATTGGTCCCCTCCAATAATGTTGGCCCAACTCCAACTTGGCCAACATTATTGGACCCCACCAATAATCTCCCAACCCAACTCCTTGGTTGGGGTCCAATAATGTTCACCTAGGCTAGTTTCCAACTCATCTCCTATGTAAACCCCCCATCCTTTCAATCAATCCATCAACTTCTCTTCTACCTTTTCTTCTCACAGGAGGGAGGGAGGGAAGGAGGGAGGGAGGGAGGGAGGGAGGGAGGATTGGATGGACGGACGGACGGAAGGAGAGGCGTAAGGAGGGACGAAGGGAGGGTGGAAGGCGGTGGAGCAACTCATCATGACTGTACGCTGCATGCACCTACAAAGGAAAAAAAAAAAAAGGATCCAAACCGTAGCCAGCCAGAGAACGCACCTGGCGACTCTCGTGGTTCCCTCGGAGAATGGTGATGCGATCCGGGTGGCGCACTTTCAACGAGACCAGCAGCTGTGTGCGGGGTATGCGGATCACGCAGGTGGAGAGACAGCAGGGCAGAGTGAGTGTGAGTAGGGCCATGTGAATGGCGGAATTTCAGTGGGAGCAGCCATGTGGGAGAGGGAGCAGCCATGTGGGAGAGGGAGCAGCCATGTGGGAGAGTAAGCACCACCAGGACAAGAATGTAAACGGAAACCCGCTTTTCCATTCCTAGGAGGGCAAGAGAAATCAATATACAGCTTCAGACGCAACCTGCTTAGCAGTTGAGAAGTCGAAGGAAACCGAGGGGGTGACGAGGAGGACGAGGGAAGCTTACAGTCACAGTCTCGACGGAGTAATAACCTCTGTCAACATAGTCTCCCATGAAGAGGTAATTGGTGTCTGGTGACTGCAGGCAGGGGAGAGGGATAGACAGGGGGAGAGATGGACAGTGGGAGAGACGGAGAGATGCAATGGGAAGTAAGCACAACAGCTGAGTGAATCGAAACAGTCCCCCATGGGAAGGTAATGGCGTCTGGTGATTGCAGACAGGAAGGGAATGTAGAGGGAAGACATGCAATATTCATTAAGCACAACGGCGAAATCAATTGACATAGCCAACCATGAAAGGGATTGGTGTCCGGTTACTGCAGACAGAGGGGAGCGATGGAGTAAGAAGGAGTAATGCTGTTTCACTGTCACAGGCCCACAGGGTGCTGTTACACTCGCACGCCTCATGCTGCTTCGTTCTCACTGATTTATACGCCACTCATACTCTTTCCATGATTTTAACGAGAGTGAATGCTATGTAACACCCAACCCAGTGGGGCGATCAAAACAGCGTACTCTTCCGCCAAGGCGGAACAGCATGTCTTTCCGCCAACGCGGAACAGAATACCTTCCGCCAATGCGGAACAGCATACCTTTCCACCAACGCGGAACAGCATGCCTTTCCGCCAATGCGGATCAGCATACTTTTCCGCCAATGCGGAGCAGCATACCTTTCCGCCAATGCGGAGCAGCATACCTTTCCGACAATGCTGAGTACCTTTCCGCCAATGCAGACCAGCATACCTTCCCGCCAATGCGGAACAGCTCTGAGAGGTCGTGGAATTGCCCGTGAATGTCGCCGCAGATGGTCACTGGGCACCGGACAGGCTGGGATGAGACGGGATTGATGGGAACAGATGGGAATGTATGACTGTCAGTTTGCGATAAGACGAAATTAAAAGCCCTAAAAAGGGGAAAAGGCGGAATCGAGTGAAAGTCGCGAACGGTGAAGTTAACCTAATCAACTCAGTGCTGAATGCGGAAAGCGAGACACCGCATCTAAGCATTCACATTGTTATACGTAAGAAAGTTGGGCAAAAGCACGATTGAGTAATTGCAACAGGCGTCGTAGGCTTCGAGAGTCGCCGAGGGATCAGAATAACAAGGCCATTCAATAGCTCGGTCTGTAATTTCATAGGACTCGGCTATAAATGTATAGCTAAGTGTTGTTAAGCTTAGACTGGGAACGCTCATCAGGTCATTGCTAGGATTAATCTGGAAAAGCGAACTGAAAACTGCTAGGATCGGCCGGAAAAGCTAGGAACATTATTAGGATGAAAAACTTAAACATTGCTGGGATCAACCTAGAAAGCTTACTTGTACATTGCTCTCTTCCACCAGAATCTCCCTGGCTTTCTCGCAGAGGGCCTTCACCTGCAGGAGAATATAGACGGACAATGCCGTGCCACTTTGAAACCCTAATGCAGGAAAACGAGCCGACATTGCCGAGTTACGAAGATATTCTGATACAAATGTGCACGAGGTAGCTAAATGAGGAAGGTCGAAGTGGCAATGAATAAAACTCAAATGCGTCAACATTTTAGATCGTGCGGTCCAAAAATACAGAATCGGATGACGCTGGCTAACGCAGACTCTGTATCGCAAACTTATGGAGTCGAACTAATACAAGTCGAGGTAGCCGGGAAACTTAATAGGCGGACGACGCACCTCTGCCTCGGTGAGAGGTTTACATTCGTGCAGCTGTGCGATATGCGAGTCGAGCTGCTCCTGATTTACCATGTCTGAAATACCTTGCCTGAACGAAACTCCTAGAACTGAAACTTAAACGGGTCTAATTACCGCAAAGCGTTACTGTGCCTAGATCGCAGGCTTTGATCTGAGCGAGAAAGGGTTAGAGATCAATGCACGCAGAAATAACTACGTCAAGCGGCAACAGCTCTGCTAGAAGCTGTATGGCCGTTGTAGCAGTAGAACAGCAGAGAGCGGCACCAGCAGAACTCGGTTGTGGTAGCGTCAGAAAATGACTAGTTAAAACACCTCTAGAATCTACCTAACCGTTTGTTGTATTAAAGGAAACGCTTTCAAGCGCGAAATACCGTACGTGACCGCACATTGTTGAAAATCAAAACCACTCTCCGCAGGTATTTGCCCCGTGAAATAGTTCTGACCACTCGAAAGTCGGCCCGATTTCGAACCGGAGGTCCGAACACGCCCTCCTGAATACACACCTCATCCTCCCAAGACGTGTACCATTGATGTATTCCGCAGTGGTTGATTTTCAGCAGAAGGTCAGCTGTGCCACTATGCGGCCGCCTCGTCAGCAGCGATGCCAGGAGTGGAGCCAGTCAGAACGGGACCTTGGAAATCGCACCTACTGCCTGGCTTGGTCGAGGACGCGTGGGCAATACCAGCCTCAAATATTTTGTACTGTTTCGTTCTACACTCGCGCACACGACGACGGAGCGAGTGACCTGTTTTGCGAACCCATCCCTGTTTTGCGAACCCATGCCTGATAGCTGACGTTCGTATTTTCGTCCCAAGCCAGATCAGTTCCTAGTATCACGTCGGGACTCCCTTATTGGCCAGAAACAGGTTACCACGTTTGTACGGCGGGGGTACTTATCCAGCCAATACGAGTTTTGCTCCAGAAGTGATATCGGTTGAGATCGGCGACGAGGTTCACAGCTTGGAAAAATTCACAGGGAAGAGATGAAGGGCTTTTTGTTCGGGCGTGGCTTTCGGCCGTATTTGCGGGCTTACGAGCTTTCTGTTTCCTCTGAAACGCGGTAGCAGGCTTTTGAAGCGCGTTCCCAGTAAATCACTCTGCACGTAGCGCAACACCATGGCGACCGCGTCCCTTATAGCGTGCTCGGCGCGAGCTGCGTCGAGCTGTCTCGCTGCGCGATACACTTCGGGAAATGCGCGCCGCGTTTCGCCCGCAGGCCGCGTTTTAGCAGCCCGGAGCGCACACCCGCCGACCGCTCGCCACTGCATTTTCCGGGCAGATGCGCGACGAACCGGTAGACTGAACGATAGTCCTGCGCAAAGACTTGCTATTGCGCCGATTGCGCCGAGTGCGCCTGCTAACACCCCTGTCGCGCGCGTCGCTCGCATCGCGTCAATCACGAGCCATGGTAGGCGGCGAAGGTTCCTTGTTCCTTCGGCAAGTACCGGGTCTGCTGCTGGCGCGGGTGACACAGACGGGGGCGACTCAATTGAACGGTGCGTGGCGACTCAACTTTCGTGAAAAATCTACAGCACGTTATAAGCGGATCTTCTCTCGTTACGAGCTTACTGTAGCGCACGTTTGGTTGAAACCACATTTTTGTTAAACCTCTTTCTCGTGAAATCTACAGGAAGAAAGAAGCTGGGAAGCCCAAGGCAGTGGATCCGGAAATCCTGGAGGCCGGCAAAGTGGGAGAAACGGGCCCTCGCTCCCGAGATGGTGACGTGGCTAGGAGTGCTGACGTGGCAGGGGATGCTGACATGGACCTAGAGGCGCTGGCTCGTGAGCTGAACATGGATTTGAAGGAGGTGCAGGAGGCGGAAAGGATGTTTGAAAGTGCCATGTCAGCAGTTGCCTCGCTGGAATCGCTATCCGCCAAGTTCGATCAGATGATTCTGGAAACTGCCGCTGCTGAATCAGCTGGATCAGAGGATTCAAACAAGGGTTTAAGAGGGTTTTTGGGTGAAGGGGGTTTAGCGAATGCGGGTTTGGAGGATTTAGAAAGAGGCATGGAAGAGTTGGTTAAGGAATTTGAAGCTGCGTCATCGAAGGGCGAGAGAAAAGGCATCAGCCAATCAGGGGAGGGGAGTGCAGAGGAGGCGGATGATGATGGTGCTGACGTGGACTTGGCAGAGGAGGCCATTGCTGACATGGAGAATGACCTGGCGGAGCTGCAGCGGTCGGTGGCGGCCACGCTTGCTGAGCTGGACCGCACTGCCACGTCACTCACTCCGGAGCTGGGGCTACAGGAAGTGCTTAAGCTCAAGTGAGTGGTGGGAGGGAGTTATGTTAGTGGTTAATGAGCAGGAAGTGCTGAAGTTGAAGTAAGTGCAGGGAGCTTCTGTAGTGCTGGTGCTTAGGAAAGTGATGGGAGTTACACTCCACAGATGGAACTGGACTAAATTCGTGACCTCTTTTCTCCCCAATCCTGCTCCTTCCTCCCCGCACCACCCCCCACCACCCACCCCCTCACCCTCCCCCCTTTCGCTATCCTCCTCCCCCCTGCTGCAAACCCCCCAAATTCTAATTTATAAACCCAAATCTTGAACCCTTTTCATTATCAGGAGCTCCATCTCTGCTGACGTGGCGCAGATAGAGCAGCAGACGGGCGCCATTCTCGGGTTGCTGAGAGAGGCCCGAGAGCTGCAGGAAGCTTCCCAGCAACCGGGGGCACCAATGGGAGCGCGCCAGCTGGCGGCGCAGCGGGCCGTGGAGGCTCGGAACGCCATGGCTGCGATGGCAGGCTCGGCCGAAGCTGCGGCAGAGGCTTTGAAGGCCCTGGAGGAGGAAGGGGCGGCGGACTGGGATGGTGTGGGGGGGGTGAAGGGGGAGGCTATCAGGAGGGCGGGGGAGGAGGTGAAGAGGAAGAGAGTAGAGGAGGGGGGAGCAGAGCAAGAAGAGGATGATGAGTAAGTGCAGTTTGGAGGGTGGATGAGTAGATTATAGGTTTTTGGAAGGTGGGTGCGTGGGGTTTAAGAGGGAACGAAGTGAAGTTTAACAGTGGAACAACTGAGGGAGTAGGGGGTTGATTGTGAGGGAGTGGAAGGGAGTGGGAGGGAGTGGAAGGGAGTGGGAGGGAGTGGGAGTAGTTCAACCACTATCATTTCCTCTCCTCACTCTTCTGCATCCTTCCCTCTCAACATCCCACCATTCACCCTCCATTCCCTCTCTCCCTCCCCTCCCCCCCCCTGCTGCCCCCTCCCTTTCCTTACCCAACTACATCTAACCAATGAAATGTCGGCTTACCCTGTAGTCTCCCCACCTATTTTTGAGTCAACTCAAAAATAGACCCCCTCCCTTTTCTTACCCAGCTACATCTAACCAGCGAATGTCGCCTTACTTATTCTGTCGGCTCCCCACCCACCCCAACCTCCAGCCAGCCGGCCTACCTATCCCAATGGCACGAGGTGGCAGCAAAGCGGGCGGAGATAAAGAGGGAGCTTGCGGAGATGTTCAGCAACGCGCTTGTTCCCCCTTTTCCCGTTCCACCCCTCTCCAGCCAGCCGGCCTACCTGCCCCAGTGGCACGAGGTGGCAGCAGAGCGGGCCGAGTTGAAGAGAGAGCTTGCAGAGATGTTCAGCAACGCCGTGCAGCTGTTTCAGGAGGGGGATGCGGAAGGGGCGATGGCATTGGTGGCGGCTAATGAGGCGGAGGTCATGGGGCAGGTGAGAGATGGGCTGGGGTTGGGGGAAGGGGGAAATTAGCGGATGGTGGGACAGGTGAGGGAGAGAAGGGTAGAGATTTTCAGCAACGCGGTGCAGGAGGGGGATGAGGAGGGGGCGATGGCGCTGGTGGCAGCAAACGAGGCAGAGGTCATGGGGCAGGTGAGAGATGGGCTGGGGTAGGAGGGATAGGAAGGGGATGGGGCGGAGATGTTCAGCAACGCCATGCAATGCAGCTGTTCCAAGAGGGGGATGCGGAGGGCGCAATGGCGTTAGTGGCGGCTAATGAGGCCGAAGTGATGGGGCAGGTGAGGGGAGGACACTGGGTAGGGCGGGAAAGTAGGGGGTGGTGGGTGGGATAGCAACGGCGTGCAGGTGTTTCAGGGGGTGGACTAGGAGAGCGCTATGGCACTGGTGGCGGCTTATGAGGCTGAAGTGACGGGCCAGGTGAGGGAAGGGAGTTGGGTCAGCAGGGGAGAGAGGTGTGGAGCAGGGGAGAGGGGTGCGGAGCAGGGGAGAGGGGTGTGGTGTGGAGCAGGGGAGAATAATTATGCACTGATGGTCGCTGCAGTGCTGATGTGGCTGTTGTTGTGAGGCGTCTCTACTTTTCATTAAACTCGATTACTTCCATCCTCCCCTCCTGCCCCCTTCTCGTCTTATCAGCGGTGCCGCTGTCTCTACTTTTCATTAAACTCGATTACTTCCATCCTCCCCTCCTGCCCCCTTCTCGTCTTATCAGCGGTGCCGCTGGCGCTGTTGTGAGTCGCCTCTACTGTTGAAACTTGTTTATCACCTCTTTCCCCCCATACCCCTCTTCTTGTCTTATCCCCAGGTGGCAGCAGGGGAGGCGGGCGTAGAGCAATCAGCAGTGCTGCTGGCGCTGTCACAGCTGCTGCTGGGGATGGGAGAGGAGGGGAAGGGGAGACAGCTGATGGATCAGGTGAGGGGTGCGGGGTGCGGTGGTGAGCGGTGGTGAGAGGTGCAGTGGGTGAAGGCTGGAGGTTCAATGTAGGTCGCAGCTGCTGCTGGGGATGGGGCAGGAGGGCAAGGGGGGACAGTTGATGGATCAGGTGACAGGTGCTACGGCATGGAGATATAACTGTTCTTTCTCCTTCTGCCACTGGTCGCCCTATCTCCCGGATCTTCCCGCCAGCCTCTCGCCCTCGTCGCCTCTCACCCCTCCGAACCTCTTCTCGACGACCTGCTAGAGAACGCGGGGGACATGTATGTATTACGGCATGGAATGGAATCGTGCCTGTCCTTTCTCCTCATGCCACTCTCCTCTCTCTCCCCCCGCCCCCTCTCCTGTCCCCAGGCTCTCGCCCTCGTTGCCTCTCACCCCTCCGAGCCTCTCCTGGACGACTTGCTAGAGAACGCGGGGGACATGTACTATGGCATGGAGATGTGGGATGAGTCGATCAAGATGTACAAACGAGCAGTCAACGTGCAGAGGGAACTGGCAGGTATGATAGGGAGGGTTGGCAGGTGTGTGGGTAGGCAAGAGGGTTCTAAGTCAGAGGTGGGAACGTGGGCGACATGTATTACGGCATGGCGGTGTGGGACGAGTCGATCAAGATGTACAAACGCGCCATCAACGTGCAGAGGGAATTGGCAGGTATGGTGCACCTACCTTTTGGAGCAAGCAAGGGACATGTATTACAGCATGGAGATGTGGGACGAGTCGATCAAGATGTACAAACGCGCCGTCAACGTGCACAGGGAACTGGCAGGTGGGCTGGGGAGGAGACCTGGCAGGTGTGGGTATGGCAGCGGCAGTTGAAACAGTGCTGGGGGAACGCGGGGAACATATATTACGGCATGGAGATGTGGGACAATTCTATCCAGAAGTACAAACGAGCCGTCAGCGTGGAGAGGGAACTGGCAGGTATGATGGGGAGACTTGGTGGGGTGGGGAGACCTGGCAGGTGTGGGTATGGAATGGAAGAGATGGTTTTAAGTCAGAGGTGGGAACACGGGGGACATATATTACGGCATAGCAGTGTGGAACAAGTCGATAGATGCACAAACGAGCAGTCAACGTGCAGAGGGAACTGGCAGGTGGGATGGGGAAACATGGCAGGTGTGGTATGGCAGTGGATCGGGCGGGCGAACGCAAGGGACATGTATAATGGCATGGACATGTGGGATGAGTCTATGAGTCCATCACGATGTATAAACGCGCCGTCAACGTGGCAGGTGGGATGGGAGTGGAGTGGAGTATTAGGGTCAGGTGGAATGGGAAGCTTGCGAGTAGGAGACAGGTAGAATGCAGAAATAGCTCTTCGTACACCGCTCTCCACCACACTCCACCACATTGCACTTTCTCCACGACTCTCCACTCCGCCACCCGCTGTTCACCAGGCGGCGAGCACTATTTGCAAGCCTCGTTCAGCCTCACTCTATCTCCTCTCACCACTTGTTTCTGTTCACCAGGCGGCGAGCACTATTTGCAAGCCACGTTCAGCCTCACTCTATCTCCTCTCACCACTCTCCACCGTATTCCACTTGTTTCTGTTCACCAGGCGGCGAGCACTATTTGCAAGCCACGTTCAGCCTCACTCTATCTCCTCTCACCACTCTCCACCGTATTCCACTTGTTTCTGTTCACCAGGCGGCGAGCACTATTTACAAGCCTCGTTCAGCCAGGGGGGAGCTTCGTTCAGCCTCACTCTATCTCCTCTCAACACTCTCCACCGCATTCCACTTGTTTCTGTTCACCAGGTGGCGAGCACTGCCTACAAGCCTCCGCCCTCTGCAGCCTCGCCAATGTCCTGGTTGAGGCGCAGAGGCACGAGGAGGCAGAGGTCTTGCAGAGGCGAGCAGCAGAGGTGCATGGGATTGACAGACACAGGGGTCTTGAAGAAGCTGTCACGGCTTCTTCCTTCTAACCACACCCCACCACTCTCTGTTCACCAGGGGAAGAGCACTACCTGCAAGCGTCCACTCTCTGCAGTCTCGCCAATGCGTTAATGGAAGCTCAGAGGCACGAGGAGGCGGAGGAGGTGCAGAGGAAAGCGGCAGAGCTGTATGAAGCGGCCAGGGGGGAGAGGTCCCGCGGGGTGGCGACGATGCTGGTGCGGCTGACACAGATTCAGATGGAAGGGGGGCGCGTCGAAGAGGCTGAAGGCAGCATTCTGCGGTGAGTTTAGTCAAGGGTTCTGTTGTTGCTGTTTTGAGGTGCCTCGGAAGGAGGTCCTGAGTCTTGGGGGGTAAGGATGATGCTGGTGCGGCTGACACAGATGGAGGGTGGAAGGGTAGAAGAGGCCGAAGGCAGCATTCTGCGGTGGGTGGGTGGGTGGTGCTTTTGTGGAAGGGCATCAGAAGAATATGCTGTCTTTTATAGCGTACATATGTTTTTGTTTGATTATCACTGCACCCTTCTTCTCTCTTCTCCTCAGTTCACACCCGTTTCTTCTCCCCCCTGCACACCGATAGTGCCAAGGACATTCCGGTAGTGGAGGAGGTAGTGTTTTGTCTGACTGACCCACAGTGTCTTACATTTCTTCCTGATTCCTCCTCACTTCTCCCCCGCTTCTCCCCCCTGCACACCAACAGCGCCAAGGACATTCTGATAGAGAGGATTGGCTGACATCAATGGAAGCAGTGTTGTGTCCAACTGACCCATCGTATTCCTCCCTTTTTTTTTCCCCACTTCTACCCTATTCTCCCCCTCTTCTTCCCCCTGCACACCAACAGCGCCAAGGACATTCTGATAGAGAAGGAAGGACTCACGTCGATGGAGGCAGCAATTGTGGAGTTCACTCTGGCACAAGTCAGGCAGGCGCAAGGTGGGTAGGCTCGTAATGGGTCTCGCTTATAACGAGTCAGCACAGCAGAGGGTGTGTTAGGAGTGGGAGGAAGAGGGGTTGACGTCAATGGAAGCAGCTATAGTGGAGTTCAGTTCACTCTCGCTCAAGTCAGGCAGGCGCAAGGTGGGTGGGCTTGTAGCGAGTCTAGCTTATAGCGAGTCACGAGAGGTTGAGTACGAGTGGGAGGAAGAGTGGTTGACGCCAATGGAGGCAGCAATAGTGGAGTTCACTCTCGCACAAGTCAGGCAGGCGCAAGGTGGGCGGGCTTTTAATGAGTCCTGCTTATAACGAGTCAGGAGAGGGTGTGTAGGAGTGGGAGGAAGAGGCAGGGCAATGGAGGCAGCAACAGTGGAGTTCACCTCACTCTCGCACAAGTCAGGCAGGTGCACGATGGGTGGGCTTTTATCGAGTACCCAAAGTAGGCTTATAACGAGTTTATCGAGATTGGCTGAAGGATACAGAAGGGACCAACTAACTCCTGGCACTCCTGCTTCTTCTCTCCACCCTCCCCCCTCCCCTTGACTTGCCCCCTTTCCCCACGCCATGACCCATCTCCCCAGGTTACCCTAGCAGCCTTGACCTAGCAGTGGGAGTGTTAAAGAGCAGCCTTGGGAAATTCAAACAGGCAGTGGGGAGCAGAGGAGGAAGGGCTGAGATGGTTTCGGTCTCCACCTGCTCTTCCCTTCCCCCTTCCCCTCCCCGTCCCTCGTCTCCCATCCCCACATCTCCCCAGGTAGGCCCGATCTAGCAGTGGGGGTATTGGAGAGCGGCCTTCGGATCTTTGAACAGGCGGTGGAACAGCAGAGGAGTAAGGGACTGACTGACTTACCACAACGCATACCGCTTCTTCACTCCATCCCTCCTCTCCCCTTGCCTTGCCCCCTCTTTCCTCCATGACCCATCACGCCAGGTCGCCCTGATGTAGCAGTGGGGGTGTTGGAGAGTGGGTTCGGATATTCGAACAGGCAGTGGAGCAGCAGAGGAGGAAGGGACTAGGATGTTTGCGTTTATCCACCTGCTCCCCCTCTCGAACCCTTCCCTGGTTCCCCGTCTCCCATCTCCCCATCTCCCCAGGTCGTCCTGACCTAGAAGTGGGGGTGTTGGAGAGCGGCCTTTGGGTAAAAGTCGGTGGAGCAGCAGAGGACCAACTCATTCCGGCTTCTTCTCTCCACCTTCCTCCCTCCCCTTGCCTTGCCACCCCCTCCCCCTTACTCCCCAGGTCGTCCTGATCTAGCAGTGGGGGTGTTGGAGAGCGGCCTTCGGATATTCGAACAGGCAGTGGAGCAGCAGAGGAGGAAGGGCGCGGCGGGAGACGATGCTGAGCTGGCAGGAGCCGGCGCTGAGCTGGCATGGGGCGACGATGAGCTGGCGGGGACCCCGCGTGCGCTGGTGAATGCGCTTGGAGCGTCAGCGTTCCCGGCCTTTGAGCAGGCGCAGATCGAACTGAGCATGCTATACGACATACTGGATAGGTGAGTGAGTGTGTGTGGCGTGGTATATGGTCAGCGTTTCTGGCTTTTGAGCAGGCTCAAATCGAACAGAGCATGCTATACAACATACTGGACAGGTGAGTGAGTGTGGCGTGGCATATGGTCAGCGCTCCCGGCTTTCGAGCAGGCGCAGATTGAACTGTCGATGCTATATGACATGCTGGACAGATAAGTGAGTGTGGCATACCATGGTGCGCACGTGTGTATGTGCAGTATGCACTAGACTAGGCATATAATCAGCGTTCCCAGCCTTTGAGCAGGCGCAGATCGAACTGAGCATGTTGTACGACATATTGGACAGGTGAGTGTGTGTGTGGGGGGCATAGCATGGTGCGCGCGCGCGTTTGTGTGTATGTGCAGTGTGCGCTATAATCAGCGTTCCCGGCTTTTAAGCTGGCGCAGACCGAACAGAGCATGCTATATACGACATACCAAACAGGTGCGTATGTTGCATTGCAAGGTATAGGATTGAACAGTTGGGTGTGTATGGCAAAGCATGGTGCGCACATGTGTGCGCCGTGCGGAATGTGCTAGGTTAGGCATATACCCGGTCTTACTGGCTTTCGAGCAGGCACAGATGGAGCTGAGCATGCTTTAGGTCATGCTGAGCATGCTTTAGGTCATGCTGAGCATCCTGGAATTGGAGAGGTGAGTGAGTGTGTAGGTGGATGGACATAAGACTGTACCTCCGCAGCCCACCTGGTTGCTACTGACAGCACTTGAGCATGCTGTAGGTCATACTGGATAGGTGAGTGTGGTGTGGTGTGGTGTGTGCCGTATTGGACCTTTGGCATACAGCCTAGCCATATAACCAACCATCCAGCGCGCAGGTGACTTTCCACCACCTTGACTGTTACAAAGCATAGTTATCGCGTTCACATTTTCGAGTCGACTTAGAGGTCACCTTGCATTGGACCTTTGGCTTGGCATACAGCTCAGGCATAAAACCAACCATCCGGCGCGCACAGATCGAATCCAGGTGGGTGTAGTATGCTCGATGGGTGTGTGCGAACAAAAAGTTTCAGATCAGCCCACAGCCGTCTCACCTGTCAGATTATCCAATTGCGTATGCCACACCCACCTGGATTCTATTCAATCCTGGATTGCCATCTCCTCCTCTCGACAGTCTACTTCTCCTCTCGGCTAAATCCACGTACCCCCACCTTTCCTCTCCCCCACTTCCTTCAACAGGGATGAAGACGCATGTGCCGTAAGAGAGAAGCTCCTTTCAGCAAAGGAGCTAGCCGTCGGCCCTCTCTCCCCAGCCTTCATCCCGTCCCTCGTCCCGCCCCTCATCCAACTCGCGCAATCCTGCACGCACAACAACCATTCCAAACGCTTTTCCACTCTTCCCCACTCCCTTCAACACCTGATTTCTCCCTTATGCAGGGATGAGGACGCGTGTGCCATAAGGGAGAAGCGCCTGTCAGCCAAGGAGCTAGCCGTCGGCCCTCTCTCCCCGGCCCTCGTCCCTCCCCTCATCCAACTCGCCCAATCCCGCATGACCATCGGCCTCTCTCCTTTTTCCTTCTCTCCCACATCTCTTCACAGGGACGAAGACGCGTGTGCCATAAGGGAGAAGCTTCTTTCAGCAAAGGAGCTAGCCATCGGCCCTCTCTCCCCAGCCCTCGTCCCCCCTCTCATCCAACTCGCCCAGTCCCGCATGACCGTCGGCCAATCAGAGGGCGCGGAGCGGCTCCTGCGCCGCGCGCTGCAGATCGCCAGGTCAGCGGTGCCAGCTGGCGACGCGCGGTTGGCCGTGCCGATCGAACGGCTGGCGCTGTGCCTGGCACAGATGGAGCGGTTTGAGGAGGCTGAGGTGCTGGCAAGGGAGCATCTGATGATCGCTGAGGGGGCTGTTGAGAAGGCGGGACTGAGGGGAGACAGTGTTGAGATGCTAGGTAAGCACCCTGCTTTGGATTGACTTCGGTTGACTTGAGTTGACCCTCGTTTGGAGGCGGAGGGATTGGCGAGGGAGCATCCGATGATTGCGGAGACAACGGTTGAAACGGCAGGATTGCGGGGAGACACGGTGGAGATGCTAGGTAAGCACGCTCCTTTCGTTTGACTTTGGTTGACTTGAGTTGACTTGCGTTAACTGGGATAGAGCACTTATCCTCATGGCTGCAGGCCAGGCAGAGGCAGCAGAGCTTTGCCCTTCCCTTGCACCCATCCCTTCCCCACACTGGTTTCCCTCCCGTCTCTTCCCACTTTCTCCCTCCCCCTACCCCAGCGCAAGCCCAGCGGAACCTAGCGCTCGTCCGCATGGCTACAGACAGGGCAGAAGCAGCGGAGCTTACCCCTCCTTCCTTGCACCCACCCCCTCCCACCACTCTAAACCGCGAATCTCTCCCTCTCCACCCATATGTCTTCCCCCACACAGCGCAAGCCCAGCGCAACCTAGCACTCGTCCTCATGGCTACAGACAGGGCAGAGGCATTTGAAATTCCCCCCACCTCTTCTCCTTCCCCTTCCCCCACACTGGTTTTCCGTCCTGTCTCCCCTCTCCCCCCCCTACCCCAGCGCAAGCCCAGCGGAACCTAGCACTCGTCCTCATGGCTACAGACAGGGCAGAGGCAGCGGAGCTGTTACTGAGGAAGGCTCTAGCGAGGATGGAGGGGGCAGTGGGGCCCATGGGGGATGCGGCGTTGGTGATTGCCGGGTCCCTGGTGGTGAATCTGCAGCAGCAGGGGAGGGACGATGAAGCTGAGCCGCTGCTTAAGAGGCTAGCTCTGGCTGAAGCTGCAGCTACGGGGAATTTGTGATTAGGAGCTTGTATCGAGCTGGTTTATGTTGAGGATGAGATGGAAAGGTTGGGGAAGTAGCAGTAGGGCCCATGGGGGATGCGGCGTTGGTGATTGCAGGGTCTCTGGTGGTGAATCTGCAGCAGCAAGGGAGGGATGATGAGGCTGAGCCGCTGCTTAAGAGACTGGCTCTTGCCGAGGCTGCAGCTACTGGGAACTTGTAACAAGTTGGCTTGTAATGAGGATGAGTTGGGAAGGCAGGGTAGTGGTGATTGCAGGGTTTCTAGCGGTGAATTTGCAGCAGCAGGAGAGGGACGATGAGGCTGAGACTCGTCCTGCCGAGGCTGCAGCTACGGGGAAGTTTTGCTAGAAAAGCTGGTAATGAGTTGGCTTGCAAGGATGTTTGGTGGTTTGCGAGGATTTTATGGATACGGTAGGCACTCGATCCCTAGGAATTGGATTCGTGCGTAATGGTTTGGGTTAGGAACGTTAAAATATAGCCATGTTTATAAAGCAGTTACTCTATAGTACCCTACCATACTAATGGCTTCTCTGCAAATGTTGAGTTGGAAAGGGTAAACGAAGGGTCATAATAGGACAGTTTTTATCTAGGTAGTAACGAATTGATTTAGGTATGACATTTTCGAATATCACTGTACCGTAGCAGTTTACCTGTGGAGCAACCCAGTGCACCTTCATACATGAGTGCTATCACTTTTCCTGCCGCGTCTTTCGGTCGTCTGAGTCTCTTCCGGCTCGATTTTTCCGTCCGCGCGCTCCGACCAGCGCATTTTTCGCGTCCCCCGAGTAGCGCGTCTTGCGCTGGCTAAATTAACGGCTTGTTTGCACGAGGTGATTTTTATATCAACTCAGTAGCCGTCATGACTATTTGCACCTGGCGTTTTCGTTAACCGCTGTGAGTTTACAAGCAGTCTGCTCCTACAAAATCTCGCTACATCGTTCCTACGACTAGATATCCGTTCACTTCTCTCCGGAACGCCACGTGGCACGCGGCAGCGTTAGCGAGTTGTTATATTCCTCTCCATCCTTTGCTCGTTGCGCCGATTTACTCCTTGAACTCGATTCGCCGAAAGCGTGTGGAGAATCAGATGGCTGGCTCGCACATCGAGGATCCTTGCATTAGCCGGACGGTTCCGTTCCTCCCCGTTTCCCCCTCCGCCTCTCCTTCCGCTCCTCCCTCCGCTTCCCCCTCCGCTCCCCCCTCCGCCTTCCCCCTGGATGACAGCACGCTGTACCGCGTTCTCCGCTGCCTTTCCGCGCGCGAGCTCGCGCGGGCGGCGTGCGTGAGCGCGCAGTGGCGCTCCGTGTCGCGCGACGAGAGCCTCTGGGCGGCGCTCGCGCGGGACATGTGGCCCTCGTTGCAGTCACGCCGCGGACAGTCACTAGCGCTGATTGATTCACCGAGTAAATTCCGAGCAAAGACACATCAGCATCAACAGCCGCAGCGACGGCAGCAGCAGCAGCAGGAGCAGGAGCAGCAGCAGGAGGAGGAGCAGGAGCAGCAGAATTCGCAGCAAGGGCAGCAGCAGCAGCAGCTAAGGATGATTCCTTGCAGCAGCGGAGCCATCTCTTCCCACACCTCTATCCCTGACTTTACCTCCCAAACCCTAACCAGCTCAGAGACCTGCGCTGGCTTACCTTCAAAAGCTTCCACCTCCTCTGAACACCATTCCGAGGAGCTTCAACACCAATCCATCAACATCCATTCACATTCCTCGTTACAAGAAAACTCGTTTAAACAAGTGCTGATCGAAGAACACCCACCTGAAGCACATTCGTTCCGTGCATTCGCCTATCGCCGGCTGAGCTGTGGGCCTCCTCGCCCGGCAATCACCCCCCTCTCCTTCCCCTCCCTCACTTTCTTTCTTGATATCTCCCACCACGGCCATTCGCGGCTGTCCATGGCGCTCCAGCAGAAAGATCTGATCCTGTCAGAGACTGCTGATCTAGTAGATTTCGATTTTGTTGTCAAGAACCTGAACGCTGCTCATGAAAACAGCCCCTTGTGGAGGCCGCACCCTGATTCCACCGCTTCCTCCTCTCCCCCCTCTTCCTCCTCTTCCTCCTCTTCCTCCTCTTCCACCTCGTCCGCTCCACTCACCCTTCCAGATTCAGTTGCCACCCCTTCCGCCTCCTCGTCCCCTTCCTCCAGTCCCTCCGAAACCGCTGCTAACTCATCCATTCTCCCTTCATCCCCCACTTTCTTATCCGACTACTACAAGGCGTCACACATGGCAATGCAAGGGCCGGATCGGCCATCTGCTTTTGCGCAGGAGCTCTCTGCTCAGCTGCACGTGCAGAGGCCTTCAGATGGGCGCATGGTGCAGCTGGTTAACTGCCAACCTCAGTACCAGGCAGATGATTTAGGCCTGCTGGTGTTTTGTTCCATCTTGCCTGCGCTGGTGTTTGGAACAGGGCTTTTAGCTGAAGTTGACTTGGAATATAGGGCGATTGTTAGAGGAGGGGGGTCAGGGAGAAGAGGGAGTGCCAGGGAGTGTGTTGAGGGAGGTAGAAAGGGTTTAATTGGTGTTGGTGATGAAGTTGCAAATGTGGATGAGGATGAGGTGAGGTGGGAGTTGCGCGGTTGCAGGTTGTGCATAAAGAGGAGCGAGTCTTTCTGCGTGGCCACGTGCAGCCAGTTTGCTGAATACCTCGGTTACTTACAATGGAGATGATAGATTTTAGTGTCCAATATTGTTATTCTGGTTGCATATCTGCCCTAGTACTGTACGTGATCTTCAATGTTGGTAGGTTGTGCAATAACGAGACGGAATGACTCTATGGCCACGTGGCTTTGGACAGCATGGAGAATTGACCAATCATGCTGCTTTCTCCAAGGCATGATGGCAAAAGCAATGCAGAAGTGACGTGGCGCGCAGAGGCCTGTGACATCCCAATTCCCAAAGCAGCTTCAGGATCACGACAACCTCGCAAAAGCGCAGCATCTAACCGTCAATTTCAACGTCCAACGAACGCAGCCGTTCGATGGAGGGCCTCATCCCGTCATTATTTTGCACTGTTAGCTTCCACGCAATACATTGCACCAGCCAACAATGCCATCACATGGGCTGGCACTTTCACATCATGCGGCCTGCTGAAGTCATCGGTCATGGTCGGAGAGACGGGGGGACTCAGAGCGACTGCGCATGGCGACTGCGCACGGCGACCGCGGTTGCGGAAGCCCGCAGGTCGGCACCTTCCTCCGCCCGCCATTCTAGAACCACCGCAAAAGCAGTTCATTTCAGACTCGGTGCGCAACTCCTTCCGCCAACGCACAGAAACTGAATTGCCCTTTCGAAATTTTCCTTGATCCCACGTTTTCCGTCCGCTCCGTCGCTTGCTTGTTCTCCGCTGACCTCCATTTTGGCGGATCAGAATGCTCCTGCCTCAAAACCCTACATAAACCGTTGTTTATATGTAATTAACCGTTGTAGAACTCAAAACACCAAAGTCTCATCATGCCCGTGTTTCCCTTCCCCACAATCCAACCACAATGCAAGGCGACAATCTCAAGGGATGGAGGGGACGCTGTGTGGGGTGGGGAGAGCTACAAATGCAAACCCTAGCATTTTGGCAGATGTTTTTCAACCTTCTGTGCTTTTGTTTCTCCTTCGAAATTTTCACAAAATGGAGGAAAGTAATTGACTAGCACGGGTCCTCAACGCCATTACCTCCTCTACTTTCATGCTATCTTCTCCCTTCCGCAACCGTGATTTTTGCTGGCAAATGATTTTGGATTCTCCGAACAACAACCCCATTCCGAGGGGTATCAAAGAATATGCTCGCTGCTCGAGCCCTCCGCTGCCTGCTCCTGCGCCTGGGAAGAGTGTGCAACAGGAGGGATCCAAATATGCTGCTGCTGGTGGTGTGAGCTTCGCATTAGCACTTGATATCTTTGGGACCACCTTAGAAGCCGTTCAGGAATCATCCAGTCTTTCCGGTGCCATTAGCAGCGGTTCGGTTGATATTTCTAGGCAGCTTGAAGATGGGTGGATTGGAAACCCTAGTGGATCGATCAAAGAGGCCGTGGTGGAGACAACGGGTAACAGGTAGGTTGACAGAAGTGGTTAGAATTGCCAATGGTTGTTGTTATCCGTAAATTGGTTGCACTTGCCAACTCGTGCTAACGTCCTGTTATGCTGGTTTTTTCTCTCTTTCTTCTCTTTCTGTGCAGCGAACATGTCAGTCAGACAACAGAATTGCAAAGTGGGGTGGATAACGTAGTGGTAGAGAGCTGCCTTGTCAGTGCGACTACTGACCCCTCTGGGGATGAAAATGATGCGACGACTGCTTCTGCTAGTAGCTGCTCACAAAGCTCTGCTGGTGCACTACATGGTGCTGCCAATGACGTCGCTGCTGGTTGCGACAAAGTCTGCGCAGAGAAGGTACTTATCGGCGTCATTCGGGTCAAGACTTACCTAGCTAGTTACTCCCTCCCTGCCTTCCAGTGAACCTTTTTCCATCTTAACCTTTTCTCTGTATTTCGCGCTCGTTTTGTTGTTCAGGCTGCTCAGCTCAAGCCAGCCCTCAAGGGATCATCGCCGCGTCCCTCCGGGCTTCGCGTCACCTGGGCTGCTGACGTGTACGACCCGATTCCGAGCCTCATCTCCCACACTGTTGGGAGGCGCAACCAACGGAAGATCTATTCCAGGAGGCAGCGGAATGAGCACGCGGGGAAGGGGAAGCATGGAAAGGGTTCCAAGAGCAGCAAGTCCTCCAAGAAAGCTTCCAAGGAGAACGTTTCGGAGAAGGTGCCGGCACGGGAGGCGGGAAAACCACCTGCTAGCTGTCCCGCAGCAAGCAGCCAGGATAAGCTTTGTGAATCGACAGGGGAACGCGCAAATGTTCAGGAAGTCGTCAAGGAGGATACCGAGACCGCAGTAGTTGAAAGGAAAGACGATTCTTTAGACGACGACGGGTGGTCTATTGTTGTTCCCAAGTCTCATGCTCGCCGATCAGGTCACGGAGCTCACTCGCCGTCTTCCAGCCCTCCCCTGACCAGCTGCAGTCCGCCAAAGAAAGGCTTCGCGCTTGCTTCGCTAGAAAGCCTCGAGACAACAAGCATCACTGTCTTGGATGCTGAGGGGTGCCTGCCTTCATCCAGTAAACTTGACGGTGTTTCGCTGTTCGTTAAGGTACGTAAGAGTGTTCCTTTTCGTTCATCAGCATTCATTTCTTTTGCCGTGGACTTTATTCTGGCCCTCGTTTTTCATTTTCCGTGCCTTGTGTCTAACAGGTTGGCAGTTCAGGTTCGGAGGACAACCAGCTGTTTTCTCCTGAGAGCACTTTGGAAAACCCGGTCTTCACGTAAGTAGTATTCGTGGCAGGCAGCACATGGCGTTTGTTTTTATAAAAATGTATATAAGTAAGAATGTGTAAATATGTAGACTTCGAACTTACTAGTCCTTCCCATGTCTCCAGGTCCAGAGAGGGTTCCCCTGAGCTTTCTTCCAGTCCACCTGCTTCAATAAATCTTCTGGATCGGATTGGAACTTCAGTCTTCATTCAAGAGCATCAGTCTGATGTCAAGCAAAGGTCAAGCTCGCACAAGTCAAGCTCTCTCTTTGCCAAGGTCTCCATGGAGCGGCTGGCTGGTGCCACAGCTCTAGCACATGGGAAGGTGCAGGAGGGGAGGCGGCTGGTTTTCAGTGCATACATGTCTGCGCGGAAGCATGGAATGAAGGGTGAAGTGGCTCGCTGCCTCAGGTATGCAGATTTTTGTTTTGATGTTGAGTGTTAGTGCATTGAGTGTTAGTGTCTGGATCTGAACGGTTGCCTCGTTTCCAATGTGTTCAGGTTGATCGCTGACACTCAAACGGGCCAAGATCGGCTCAGTAGTTTGAATGCTGCGGTTGAAGGGCTTGCCCTGGCTGGTGTGCCGTTTGAGCATGCTGAAGCTCTACTGTGTCTTGCACAAGCTGAGGTGGGTACTACTGGTTCCTCTTATTTTTGCTCACATCAATATTTGAGGATGGTGGGCTGACCCTTAGTCACTTTTTGGACACACTTATGCAGGTCCAAGAATCAATCAGTCTCTCAGGGTTTGCTTACACAAGCATCGACCTAGTGTCCTCGCTTGAGAAGCTGAGCTATAGCCTCGAAGCTCCACAGCATAATGCACGCTTGATGAAGGCCAAGTCTCACCTCAGGACTGCTGCTGGCCTGCTAATGACTGAGCTTTCATCTTCCAAGTATCGCTTCTGCTCCAAGAGCGCCATGAGCCAGTACAACTCCCCTACTGGGAGAAGGAAGAGCAGCAGCAGTGGTTCCAAGAAATCTAAGAAGCCTGATTTGTTGGAAGAGGAGAGGTCGACATTGTCTGGCCTTCTGGGAAGTGTGCATGAGCTGACAGGGAAGGTGGGAATTCTGATGCAGCAGTTGGACGATGCAAATGTTGCTCTGCATGCTGCTGCCTCCAATGAGGACTGGCGCAAGGGCAGTCGCGAAGAGGCGGCTCAGGTTGATGGACTGTTGAAGCACCTTGCTGCTGGAAAGTTCCTAAGTAGGACCGTTGCTGCTTGAAAAATATTGCAGCTGGTAGACCGTCCGAGTGACTTGAATCCTACTTGTGGCAGTGTAAAATGATTTAGATGTTCTTAAAATGTATATGTATTCACTTCAGATTAGTTCCAAGTAGTCGCTCTGAACAAGTATCAAGCAGAAGTAAATTGCGGTTTGAATGGTTTCTGTAGGTTCTCGAGTCTCGATGTCATCCTTGTGGGACAGGCACGGTACTTGGAAGTGTGAACAACCTCCCGCCTAAATTACCTCGTCTTGTATCCTCGTCTCACATTATACTCTTTCCTCGTTTCCAGCTTTCGGTAACCAAGCCAGAGCTTATTACACACACTGGTTGTGTTGCTGTAAGTGACGACGCTGACCGTTGATAGCTTCGCAGATCGCGAAACACTAATGCGTACTGTCAAAGATTCGCAGTCCATCAAAGCTACGAAGACCCTAAAGCCTGTACAGGCTTGTCGAATTTTACTTCGTCCGTCTCGGAACACGCGTACTGCACGGGCCGACATGCTGGGAAACATGGCACAACGAGGACGCGGTTTTTCAGAGCCTGGAGCAGGCCGGATACGTGAACCTGGACACATACGGTCCTGTTTCTTCCGACGAGGAATACGATCAAGAAGATGACGAAAAGGCAGCGAACATCGTCGTGCTGAATCCGCCGCTATGACTCCCACAGGCCTCGTCGGATTCGGGAGCATTTTAAGGAATAATCCGCGGACGGATAAGTTTAAAGTGGACCGGTTTCACCATATCGAGTTCTGGACGGTTTCGTGGGATCTTGAGCTGCCGCTCGTGGCGAAATCGGACCAGGCGACGGGTAACCACACGTTTCGCAGTTTCGTGTTGGAAGCGGAGGCCCTGGCGCTGGTGTTCGTGGCGCCTTATTCCGACGCAGCAGCTATAACGCGTACAGAACCTCTGGGGTGAGTAGTTGGGGAGACCAGACTCGTAGAAATCCCGAGTTTTTTTCCCAAGATTTTCGCCACGGGCTGCGCGTGATTCTTTCGCACTGCATGGTTTGGGACGTGAAAGCTGCTTATTAAACAAGTGTAGATAAGGGAGTTATTTCCATCTGCCCTCCCGTTACTGTCACAGAGATCCACCCGAACGATCAGGGAGGGATTGTGACTACAGCGGAGGTGACTCTGTACGGCGACACCATGCTGTGGTGAACCCGAAGTAGTTCTGAGGTCCGTTTCTTTTCGCCTTTGAGGCAGCGCCGAACCAAGTGATGAGCTACGGAATTTTCAGGGTCGACCATAACGTGTCGAGCCTGGCGGATGCGGTTCAGTATGTCAAGGGATTCTCAGGTTTCACGAGTTCACAGATTCCTGTGCTTCAGGAAACACAAGAGGGGAAGCAGGAAGGGGAGTGTGGGAGCAGGGGCAGCTGGTTTCGTGCTGCTGCTAGTGCTGCTGGTGTCTCTGGTGGCGCTGGTGCTGCTAGTGCTGGTGCTGATAGCTTTGCTGTTACTCCTAAGAAGAAATCCTGCCCTTCTGACTTGACCCTACTAGCGCCGGCGTGAACAGTACCGTATTCGCTACTGACTAGGTGACTCCCTTTGATGGACCCCTCACTCAGCCTCCCAACAAATTCGCAGATCGAGACCTTCCTGGAGCACCATTACAGGGCTGTACTTCAGCACATTGCACTAATGTGCAGGGGCATAACTGTAAAGGAAATGAAGGCTAGGAGCGAAACAGGGTGGTATGCGTTCCTGCCCAGGCCATCAGCTAAGTACTATGGGGAGTTGGTGCTGTGGGTGGAAAGTTCAATCAGTGAGGTATGGGAGGTTTTACTTCCTGATGAGCGAGGGGGGTGTGGAGGGTTCGGTTCTGGCAACTTTTTGGAATGTCAGACATCACCCAAGGTGTATTTGTGACTTACAGCTGGATGCAGAGGATGGGAAGGGGGCAAGGGGAAAAAAAGCTGCAGAGGGTGGGATGGGCAGGGACTGTCAAGGAAGCTGCAGAGGTGGGAAGGGAGGGACCGATATGTTAGTGGGATGGAAGTTGTGGTGGTGGCCTTGGCACTGCCACTGGCAACCTGCTGGGGCGGGCCTGATCTGATAACTGGTTTGCAGTTGAGAGTGCTGCCAGGGGAATACCTGCAATGCAGGTGTCCAATGGTTATGTTCCCTGTCTCCAAGTTGATGGAGCTGTTTTGAAGATTTGGCTCAAAACTCTGGTAGACTTCAGCATGGCTTTGTCCCACCTTGCACATTTGATTGTTGTAAAAGCAAAAATGGTCACCTGTACAGTTGCTCGTCAGTTATATACTCCTGATTGCTGTGTCAAAGCTCTATTGTACTGTAGCCTGTACAGTATGTGTCACACAGGCGACCTTGGCAATACTGGTAGGAAAAAGAGTAGGGAGGGAGAGTATAACTACCTTGGCAAATGCTGCTGAAGCTTCACACGGTGCTGTACCATCGGCGTAATTCATTGCGGTGCATTGAGTTAGCTAAAAGGTTGCAAAAAGGGACTGTGGGTGGGTAGCAGTACTCTGTAGATGCTTCAATGTGTGTTGTGCACTGCAGTGCAGAGCAGACTCTAATGAAAACGTGAATGTGCGTTTATTCTGGTGGAAGATTGATAGGTGACTGATATTATGCAATATGTCCACCCCAGCAGACGAGAAATGGACGGGGTATGTCATAGGGACAACAACGGTAGGGGCAAGGCCAACAGGTAGGGGTAAGAGCAAAGGTGCGTATGGCAGTGGTGGGGGGTGTCAGGCTCACAGATGACAGGTGTGACAACTGGGAAGAAGGGATAGGAGAGTCAAGGTGTAGAAAGAGAGTGTGTGTGATACTTGGGGGAGAGGTGGTAGGGTGACAGACAGGCTCACAGATAACAGGTGTGATGACTGCGATGATGAGAGAGGGGGAGCAAGAGAGTGTGTAAGGGATGGATGGAGGGGAGAGGAGGGGAGAGGAAGGGAGAGGAGGGGAGAGGGGAGTAGGGAAGAAGGGGGGAGAGGAGGGGAGAGGAGAGGAGGGAAGAGGAGGGGAGGGGAGATGAGGGGAAAGGAGGGGAGAGGAGATGAGGGGAGAGGAGGGGAGGGGAGATGAGGGGAGAGGAGGAGAGAGGAGTCAGGATGGGGCGGAGAGGAGAGAGAAGGAGAGAGGAGGGGGCGAGAAGGGGAAGAGAGAAGGGAGGGGGGGGGGTGGGGGGGGAGCGGAGAGACGGGACAGGTGGGGGGAATGACGCGAGAGGATGGGGAGCAGAGAGAGGGGTGGAGGAGGATGAGAGACAGGAAACTACGAGGAAGGTGCCACGCAGGAGAGGAGTGGGTGGGAGGGGGGGAAGGAAGTGAATAATGCAAGGGTAAGAGCTGGGGAGTTGGATGATTGAAGGACAGTGAAAATCGAAGAGGGCGAGGAGTGACGTGACGTGAGAGAGAGGGGGAGGGGGACGGGAGTGTGTGGGGAAAAGGGGGGGGAAGAGGAGGTGTCCGGGAGGGAGGGTGGGAGGGGGTTGGGTTGGTAGAGAGCGAGGGTCGTAGAGGCCAGGCGGGGATCGTGAGAATGAGGGAGTGCACAACTGAGTGCACCGACAATGCCCTTGCTTCCTTGCGCATACTCACTTCACATTCTGCAGCGCAAACTTGTCCAGTTCGTTTCTTTTTTTCAAAACAGGAAAACAACAACGTCAAGTAAATTACGCTTAGGTTATACTTGCTTTTATTAATCAAAATTGGCATTGACAGACCTACTTCGGCAGAACGCTCGACTTGTCCTTCTCATACTTGACGTAAAGCGCGCCGAGCCCCAGGAGAAAATACACCTGCACGGCGAGTGTCGCGCCGTCGTGGTACTCCAAAATGGACGATCCAGATGCGAGCTCCACCGAGACAAGAGCGGCCAATCCAATGGCTGCGAGCCGTCCGCTCAATCTCTCCGTGTACGCAGAAAATCCGAGCAAAACTGGTAACCCGTCGGAAACGGGATCCTTCAGTGGAAGAGGAGGCAGGATCTCGGCGATTTTAGCTGCTTCTGCAGCTGCTGACGTGGCGTCTGACGTGGAGGAAGCGGATGACGAGGCGGAAGCAGGCGGAGCGTCTCCGCTGGCCTTGGCTTTCCGCTCCTCCGCCTTTTTCCCCGTTCCGCTCGCGTTTTTCCGCCTTAGGCGCTCCAGACGAGCCTCGAATTCCTCGTCATCGCTGGAGGCTCGGACGACGAGCCGCGAGACGCGGCTGCTGCTGACGTGTCTAGGGAGCGTCGACGCTAGACTGGTGGGAATGCGGGACGACAGGGACGATGCGGTGAAAGCGGAAGACATGATTAGCGCCTGACTCACGAGTGGTTCTATAGATGCTAGCGGTGGTGACAGCGGCAACTTCGCTGCACGGCAAAACGAGCAGAGTCCTTGAGTCCTTCGCTACTAAACACGACGGCCACGACCTGAACGACGTACTGCAGGTATTCTAAGAAAGTCCACTGAGACAAGAAGCTCCTAGAAATTAGTCAGCAGAAATTTTCACCATTGGGAATGTCGCGCTCCCCGCCATTTTGATTAGGTGGGCGGGGGTTTGCGCGGGATGTCGCGGAAGGTTGCGGGCTGTGGCGCGGAGGGTTACGGAACTTGGCGGAGCGGACCCCTGAAAACATCAGCTTGGGGCCTGGAACGGAACACGACACGGTGACGGACACGTCATGAACACGTGTTCCGCGAGGCCCCTCAAGATCCGATGCCACGTCGCAGCGTTTCCTACCACGCGTCACTCGGATGGACTGCTTGAATCTTGCGTGGCAGCAAGTGAACAATATGCATCCACGTTTGCAGGCTTCGCAAGAAGCAGCACAACCTGCTGTCCGTCACGCTCATATTTCGCGGATTTTTGGAAACAAAATTTGGCAGGCGCTTAGGGCGACGTCAGGTTATACATTTCACAGGTGCTTACAGTTCCTGTATCGTGATTCAGGACGGTCCAACACGGTGAAACACGGTTCTCGACGTTTAACGTTCTGCACCGTGCTGAAACGCAGTTAACCGCACTGGGCGTACAAAAAGTTGCAAATAGTTGTACAACCTGACGTCGCCCCTATTCACACAAAGATTAGGAATTTCCAGGTATTTCTTTAGTGATAATCATGCCAACACATTGGAGGTATTAGTGACTTTCTGAGTATGGAACGAACAATCAATTTTTTTTTTTTAAACACTGAGACTTTTTGTGGGCTAGAGAGTTGGAGCCGCAAGGCGATAGAAAAGGGCAAGGTCTTCAGACTTTTTCCAAATGTATGTGCGAACGGTAGCTAAGCTCATCTCTGGCCTCAGAAGCTGCCAAAGGGGAACACACAAAACAACACATATTAGACCATGTGCTGGACAATGGCAAAGAATAGCCTGCTGTTTGTGGATTTTATCAAATACCAAACAAACAAACCCACCTGATTATTGCAGAAAATCTCAACCACCACGGGAGGGGCCAGCGGTCCCAATGCCCCATCTGCTCTCCCCTTCATCCCCCCTCCGCTCTCCTCCTCGTCCTCTTGCAAGTCGTCCAATCCCAGCTTCTCCCGCACGTAGCTCATCACCTGCAAGTCACACATCAGAGGAGGAAATGAAATGACCCTTAATTCCCTTATTTCTCTTCTTTCCAGAAAGCGAAGAGGTGATTCAAGCTTCTCCCAAACGCACACATGAGAGGAAACAAGCACCTGTTGAAAAAGGAAACACAAGAAGCAAACATTCACCCCATCCAGCATCCATCCAGCACACCTTTTGGGTCTACTCAGGATCTTGAGCAGGCTCAGCTTGTTATGCAGTTACTCCCCTAAGTAATTGCAGGTAAGTTTTGAAAATTCTCAAGCCTCAATTGCAACATCAAGGCTCAGCTTGTTATGCGCCTTCCCCTTCCTAGAACCTCACTTCTGTACCAGATAAAACCCCAACGGTCGCCTCTTCCTTTTCCATGGAGCATCCAGCCTACCCCTCAGATGCGATCAGCTTGTTCTCCCCCCCCCCTTCCTCTCCCTCCATCTGCCTTATCCCACCATAACTCCTTCCTCCCCACGCTGCCCCCCTCCCTTTCCCGTGCATACCTTAAGAATCTTGAGGATCTTGGGAGCACTCAGCTTGTTCTGCGTCAGTGGCCGCAGCTGTGAGCCATCCAGGGGCTGTAGGTAGAAGCTGCACCTGCAGGGGCCACACGGGTAGGGAAAATAGTTGTGAGGGATGGGGAGGCACAAAGGGAAGGAGGAGATGAAGGCTCTGCATCAGAGGCCGCAGCTGTGAGCCATCCAGAGGCTGTAGGAAGAAGCTGCATCTGTTGCTGCAGGGGGGGAGGAGAGGGGGGAGGGGGGGGGGTTGTGGGAGGGTTTGTGGAACCACCAAAGGAGGGAAGGGATGTGAGTGTCATCGGCTGCAGCAGTGACCCATCCAGGGGCTGTAGGTAGAAGCTGCACCTGTTGTTGCAGGGGAGGGAGAGGGAATGGTGAAGCAGAAGAGAGGAAAGGGAGGTGAGGTTGAAGGTATTGCAGCGAGCCATCCAGGCTGCATCTGTTGATGAGGGAGAAGGGGGGGACGGGAGCACACACATGGGGTTTACAAGGGAGGGAAGAAACATGAGTTCTGAAGGTCACTTTTGAGTCGACTCAAAAGTCACCAAGAGACATGAGATCTGAAGGTCTCATAGCTGCGAGCCATCCAAAGGTAGAAGGTAGTAGGCTCACTGGCCTTTGACTGAATCAGCAGCTTTCCTGCCGGGGTCCCTTTGAGGCAGTCGGTCGTTCCACACGCAGTCAGCACACCACCCTGGCAGCAGCAACAGGGTTTCCACCCACCCACCCACCCACCTAAGACAAAGTCCATTGGTTATACTGCATCTCGTCAAGACGTCAGGTTCTTACTTGCTGGGGTCCCTTTGAGGCAGTCGGTCGTTCCAAACGCAGTCAGCACACCACCCTGGCAGCAGCAACCTCGCTTCCTCCCACCCAGCCCCGGCCGCTGCTAGAGTCACAACCCTGCGCCGCCACGGGCCAAACTGAGGCGGTCCCTCTGTGATAATACACGAGAGGTTTACTGGTTCTTGACTGGGCCAGTTACTTACTTGCAGGGGTCCCTCTTGAGGCAGTCGGTCGTTCCACACGCAATCAGCACACCACCTTGAGAACAGCAGCGGGGCTTCCCCCACCCATCTGAGACAAAGCCTATTGACCGATGATTTCAGTGTACCAAGTCAGAAATTCAGGTTCTCACTTGCTGGGGTCCCTTTGAGGCAGTCGGTCGTTCCAAACGCAGTCAGCACACCACCCTGGCAGCAACAACCTCGCTTCCTTCCACCCAAGGTGACAATGAGTGGATAAAACAACTACCGCTTCAAATCTCATGTCTTACTTGCTGGGGTCTCTTTGAGGCAGTCGGTCGTTCCACACGCAGTCAGCACACCACCCTGGCAGCAGCAGCGGGACTTCCTCCCACCCACCTGAGGCAAAGCCTATTGACCGATGATTTCAGTGTACCAAGTCAGAAATTCAGGCTCTCACTTGCTGGGGTCCCGCTGGGGCAGTCGGTCGTTCCAAACGCAGTCAGCACACCACCCTGGCAGCAACAGCCTCGCTTCCTCCCACCCTGCCCCGTCCGCTGCTAGAGTCACAACCCTGCGCCGCCACGGGCCAAACTGAGGGCCCTCTGTGATTATAGAGGGCGGGAACTGGTTGGGGAACTCGAAGGAGGGGAGTAGGCCGGACAACACGTCCTCCTCTCCCTCCTCTTCTGATGTAGATGCTGCTACTGCCCCTCCTGCTGCTCCTCTTGCTGCTGCCGTTGCTCCTGCTCCTGCTCCTGTTCCTGCTCCTCCGGCTGCTCCTCCTCCTTCTCCAGCTGCCCCTTGTGCATCTGCTGATGGTGCTGCTGCTGCTGGCACTGCGGCGGCTGTTGGGACTGCTGCTGTGGCTGCTGCAGCAGAGGCGGACCGTCTTAGCCCAATGTGCGTGGTGGAAGCTGAAGAGGAGGAAGAGGAGGAGGTGGTGGTGGCAGAGGAGGGGTAGGATGAGTGAGTGAGGGAGGAGGGAGTGTGAGAGGATTGCACGGGGGGGAGGCGCTTTTCATTGAGCCATGGCCATAGCAGGCCTCTTAGGGTTTGTTGACCCAGGTTTAACTGGTGCGGGGGAAAGTGAGAGGGACAAGGTTGAGAGAATAAAATGTTAAGGAGGGTGCACAGGGGAATTGACTTTTGAATCGACTCAAAAGTCAAGAGGGTGCACATGAGGATAGGGTACTGTTCTCTCGTTGAGCCATGGCCATAGCAGGCCTCTTAGGGTTTGTTGACCCAGGTTTAGCTGGTGGGGGGGAAATGAGAGGGTTAAGGTTGAGGTAATAAAATGTTAGGGAGGGTTCACGTGAGGGTAGGGTCTGCCTATGTTGGATTATACGCTCGAGGCCCTTCGCGTTTAGCGTATATACGCTAGCGTATACACGCAATACGCTAAACGCTAGCGAATACGCAATACGCTGCCATAAAAATTTCCGGGCAGCCCGGGAAAATAAAATCGCAGAAAAGATGCGGATTTTCTTGGTGAGCATTTCGCCGAAGTCGAAATGCAAATCCGCGGTCTAGGCAAGCTGGGATCTGACTTTGAAGTTTTCAGGCACATCTAGCTATTCAAATGTCGAATTTCAGATCCCATCTAGGCATTTGAACCCATCCCCTCTACCGCATTAAAAACCATCTTATCTACGGAATCCAACCTATCAAAATCGAACCCCCAACAAATCTCACGCTACTAACCAGCCAACCCAACTCCTAACCCGTCATTTCCTACCTTGCATTCTCGCTTCCAGCAGTGTCACCGCGCACTCCAACTTGAAAAGCCTCTCCAACACTACTTTCTCTAGCTATGATGACTACTCCCCGCCCCACCCCACTCGCCGATCGGACTCAGGAAAATGCTACGGCACGTCCTAGTGAGATGAGATAGGGGGTTTTTTTTCCACCCTGCCCGAATTTTTTTTCCCTGCCCGAAAAAGCGTATGCCTGATCCGACCCTCAAGCGTATTGCGTATACACGCCAGCGTATATACGATACGCATATATACGCTAAACGCGTATAATCCATCATAGGGGTCTGCTTTCTCGTTTAGCCATGGCCATAGCAAGCCTTTTAGGGTTTGTTGACCCAGGTTTAGCTGATGGTGGGGAAAGTGAGACGGAAAAGGTTGAGGGAATAAAATGTTAAGGAGGGTGCACATGAGGGTGGGTAGGGTACTGTTTTCTCGTTGAGCCCTGGCCATAGCAGAGAAGCACTGCGGGCATTTTAGGTGGATTGAGATGTGAGAGAGTAAGCCCGTAACTTCACAAGTACTTTGACCGCACTTTGACCGCACACTCACCTTCAAGTCCTCGGATGCTCCTGGGACGTCTAAGTCTGTAGCGTAGATCTCAGCTGAGAAGCACTGGGGACACTCCAGGTGGACTGAGAGGCAGCCAAAGCGGAGGTCCACTGAGAACCACGGGCTCACGCTGATCTGGAGTTGAGAGGGGTTGAGAAGGGTGAGAGGGGTTCAGGAGGGAAGAAGTGGGGTGCTCAGTGGCAGCAGCCAAGGCGGACGTCACTGATAAGCACGGGATCTGATCTGATGAGGAGAAAGGAGGGAACGAAGGGGTTGAGAAAGGTTGAGAAGGGTTGAGGAGAGAGAAAGTGAGGCGAGACGGGGGGAAGCCAAATCACAGGTCCGATGGGAGTGAGCGAGCGAGTGAGTGACTGGGTGGGTGAGTGCGTGACTGAGTGAGCGAGTGAGTGACTGACTGCAATACTGATTGAGTGAGTGAGTGAGTGAGTGAGTGAGAGAGTGAGTGGGTGCGTGAGTGTGAGAGTGAGTGGGTGAGTTAGGGCATCTATCAATTCATCACCGTGACGTACCATTTCAAAGAGTTCCTTTTCCTTTTCTTCAAATGACACCTGCACCAGAAAAGGACAAGGCATAGTAGCACCGGTACAAAAGTCAAGACAATGATGGAAAACAGAATCTTGTAAATCAGGCTTCGTGCGTTAAGGTATGTATTCAGGTAACTGCTCCAATTAACATAATTTTGACACTCACATTAATGTTCACTGCAACATCAGGCACTGTACCACACCACCAGACACTATGGCAGCACATGCACAGGCATTGCATCACACAGTACTCACCACACCATAGTTGGCAACAACAGTACCCCGGGTGATTTCCCATAGTTTCACCACGCCACCCTCGTCCTGAATCAAAGGGTGAAGGGAGGGAGGATGTGTATTGGGGTTGGGGAAAATCAATGGATAGTGGGCCGAGGGAGGGTGAACGAGAGAGATGGAAAAGAGGCAAACGTGTGTTCAATGGGAGAGATGGACTAGAGTGTAACGAAGAAAAGGACTGGTTAACAGACCAAAGCATCAAACGCACACCACCCACCCACCCACCCACATGCACACTGGTGTGTCACACCCACCCACATGCACACTCACAGCCACAGCCACACCACACTGGTGTCAGACCCACCCACCCCCCCATACAAGCATACAAACACATGCATACACGCATGCAATTCACCCGGGTGAGCACGTGCCGTCTGTCATTCAGAATGGGACGGCGTGTGATCTGAGCTGATTCGAACCACAGGCACGCACAGACCCATACATACACCCGCTCAACCCCTCCAAACTCCCATCCACCCATTGAAGCACGCATGGGGCTCACCCGGGTGAGCACGTGCCGTCTGTCGTTCAGAATGGCATGGCGTGTAATGGGTGCGGTGCCGGGAATGGTGGCGATGGGATGGGGGAATAGGGGAACCTGGGACAAATGCGAGAGGGGGGAGAGGAGAGGAAAAGAGGGGAGAAAAGGAAGAGGGGTGAGAAAGGGTAAAAACAGATTGTTTAGAATGGCATGGCGTGTGATGGGTGCGGTGCCAGGGATGGTGGCGATGGGGTGGGGGAATAGCGGAACACGGGAGAGGGGAGGGGGATACAGAAGGGGGAGAGAAGGGAGAGGAGAGAAAGGGTAAAAGTAGGTTGCTTAGAACGGCATGGCGTGTTAGGGAGATTCTGAGATGGGCAGAGGTGACTATTGAGGGGTCTCAAAGGTTCTTTAGAACGGCATGGCGTGTAGGGGAGATACAAAGGTGGGCAAAGTTGAACGCTTCGCTTCACCCACCAGAGAGAAAGAGCTTTCCACGCTAGCTCGCGCACGAGACACCCTTAGGCTGCTTGGGATGAATGAGCTGGCGGAGAGGTCAGGACTCGCACAGAACACCGGCCCATTCGGTGACACCCCCTCGAACACATGAGGAGGGGTAAAAGAACTCTCCACGCTGGCTCGAGCACGTGACACCCCAAGGCTGCTGGCAATGAAAGAGCTCGCGGAGAGGTCAGGACCCGCACAGAACACTACACTGGGCCATTCGGTGCCCCGGTGGAGGGTGGAGGGGGGGATTGGTGTGCGCTGTACTCACGAGAGAGAAAGAGCTTTCCACACTGGCGCGGGCGCGGGAGACCCCCAGGCTGCTGGCGATGAATGAGCTAGCGGAGAGGTCAGGACTCGCACAGAACACCGGTCCATTCGGAGACATACCCACCTCCTCCTCCTCTCCTGCTCTCTTCTCCGCCCCTCCCTCATCCCCTGCTCCATCCCCTCCTCTTGCCCCATCTCCTTCGCCGTCTGCTTGCGCTGCTGCTGCTCTCACTTGCTCCTCCACCCCACCCGCCACTCTCCGTAATGCCTTCTCCCCGTCCTCCCCTACCCATGCGTCCCCGGTCCCCCCTGTCAAAGCAACAGGCTCAGCAGGCCAACACCGGACAGACGAGGCAGAAGTGCTAACCCACATTCTGTCACAATCCAACCCTCTCCTTAACATTCCTCCAGTCCTCTCCCCTTCTCTTCTTTCCTCCCTTCCTCCTCTCCCCTTTCCTCCTCTCTCCCCGTTTAGCTGTAACGCCAGGTGGAGCACAGGCCGATCCTCCTTGGCCAATAGAATGCTTTCCCGCGTGGCCAGATCGGTGACGTAGACCTGAGAATATCGGGGTGAGCAATGAAAGGGGGGGAACAGGGAGCACAAGGATTTTTGAGACAATCCAAAAAAAGAAATGAGCACGGGGCGATCCTCCTTGGCCGATAGGATGCTTCCCCGCGTGGCCAGGTCAGTGGCGTAGACCTGACGGATTCCATGTGAGCAAGGAAAGGAAAGAGCATCAAAGCAGAAGGCGAGCATGGAAAGAGGTGGCTTTTGAGTCGACTCAAAAGTCAGAAGGCGAGCACGGAAAGAGGTGACTTTTGAGTCGACTCAAAAGTCAGAAGGCGAGCATGGAAAGAGCAGAGAGCTCCGAGGCTTGTCGGACTAGAACGAGATTTGAGGCGCCTCAAAAGGACGCAGCCGGTTGGCTTGGCCAATAGGATGCTCTCTCTCCCTCCTATGTGGTCAGATCGATGACGTAGCTGAGAGGGTGAACAGAGATAGGGAATCTTCTGGGAGGAAGTTTTCTGGAAGTCTCACAAAAACACCCTGAGTGGAAAGAGCAAGAAGGGAGAAACCCTCCCGCTGATTAAAACAGCTCTAAGCAGCAGAGTTGCTTCGGTCTACAAAACACTTTCCCAGCACTCACGCATGCATCTCTGCCCCCGCTGTAGACACGTGTAAACTCCTCATTGGCTGCCACCGCCCACACCGAATCCGTGTGCACGGCGTATGAGTGCACACAGCGCTGCTGCCCCAGATCCCACAGGCTGTGAAGGGAAGGGGGAGGGGGTGTGAAAACAAGGAGAAAGAAACAGAAGCACGAAATACGTACATGAGTGCACCGCACAGCACTGCACAGCCCACACCGTGTCTGTGTGTACCGCGTAGGAGTGCACACAGCGCTGCTGCCCCAGATCCCACAACCTGTGTTCAGGAGAAAGCGCGCACACGGAGGAAAGAACACCAGCAGCAGCATCGTGAGTGCACGTTATAGTCATGAGAAAGCACAGCATTTAAGGATGGTGAGCCCATGCGTGCCGTGCCACCTTGCACATTGAGCAGCTACAGAATTTGGAAACGAGAAAATGCCAATCCAAGATTGCACCGCATACAGGTCTCCCAAAACAAACAGCTCCCGAAAAAACAGCTCTGTAAATCAGCTCCATGCATATGGAACACCATCTAGAACGAATTTTGCGACGTCTCTTTCACAGAATGTGCGTCTGATTCTAGTTTTGAGAGAAAAAAAAAGAGTGCCTAGGTGGTCCACACCACACTCACCGAATGATTGAGTCGGAGGAGCCAGACAAACAGAACCTGTTATGGGGTGTGAGAGGAGGGAGGGAGAGAGGGAGGGAGGGAGAGAAGATGACTGCAGCCATGAAAGAATGTTGCTGTTTGATGGACCCACCCATCAGATGATTGAGTCGGAGGAGCCAGACGAACAGAACCTGCAATGGGGTGTGAGAGGATGGAGGGAAGGAAGGAAGAAGATGCGTTGAGTTGAAAGAGATCATTTCATCTTCTCCCATCTTATGCGTTGAGGAGGGAGGGGAAGGGAGATCAACCTATTTCATTAATTTTTAATGCTCACAAGATGCTTGGATCAGAAGAGAAGGACGAACAGAACCTGCCATGGGTTGAGAAACAACGGTGAGAGAAGGAAAAGGTGTGTTTGAGTCAAACAGACACGCACATAGGCATTCCTTCACCCGCACGAGCAGTAATCAACAACCACTCAGTTACACTGCCCCTGCGCATCCAACAGCCTGCATCTGTCAATTGAGATGCTCCTTGTTAACCCCACACGATCTCCCAGTCACGCGAAAACGAGTTCCTTTCGTCCTGCCTCCTACGCACACCACATCCTCCCACCCTCTGCCTCACCTCACCACAAAACCACTCACCTGCCAGTGGGATCAACAGCCAGAGCTCTAATTTTTTTCTGCTTCATCTGCTTGGTCCCTGTGCGAGGGTCCCACACGCGAACCACCTTCTCGCTCCCTTACCTCCCAGCCAAACCACCAGCCACTCACCTGCCAGTAGGATCAACAGCCAGAGCTCTAATGTTCTCCGTGTGCCCCTTCAGCTTCATCTGCTTGGTCCCTGTGCGAGGGTCCCACACGCGCCCTCTCCTTTCCCTCACCTATTATCTGCCACTCACCTGCCAGTGGGGTCGATAGCAAGAGCTCTGATATTCTCCGTATGCCCTTTCAGCTTCATCTGCTTGGTGCCTGTGCGAGGGTCCCACACACGCAAACTACCTTCTCTCTTTTCCCTCACCCATTATCTGCCACTCACCTGCCCGTGGAATCAACAGCCAGAGCTCTAATGTTCTCCGTGTGCCCCTTCAGCTTCATCTGCTTGGTGCCTGTGCGAGGGTCCCACACACGCAAACTACCTTCTCTCTTTTCCCTCACCCATTATCTGCCACTCACCTGCCCGTGGAATCAACAGCCAGAGCTCTAATGTTCTCCGTGTGCCCCTTCAGCTTCATCTGCTTGGTGCCTGTGCGGGGGTCCCACACACGCACCACCTTCTCTGTGCCGCCTGAAACCACCACGCTGCCGGCACTGTTCATCGCCACCGAATACACCGAGTCCTTATGCCCCTTGGCAGGCACTGGAGAATACACCCCCACTACCGGCCCCGCAGCTGCTGCCCCCCCCTGCTCCCCCTGCTCCCCCTGCTCCCCCTGCTCCCCCTGCTCCCCCTGCCCCCCCTGCTCCTGACACCACACCGCTTCCCCCTAGGCCTGAGGCAGCAGTAGGGGCACCAGGTGAAGCGGTAGACGTGGAAAGAGGGGGGGCGGAGGAGGAGGAGGAAGGGGGAGAAGAGGAGGAAGTGGGGGGGAGGGACCCTCCGGACCAGGTGAGTGGCTGCGCTGCTGCTAAGTCCCAAATGAAAAGCTCTGAACCGAGACCAGCTGATGCCACTAGAGGGACCTGCAGAGCGAGGGGAGGGAGGGCAGGGATAGGGAACTGTGTTGATAAGGAGAGGGTAGGGGAAGGAAAGGAAGGTGGGGGGAGGGACCCTCCTGACCACGTGAGTGGCTGTGCTGCTGCTAGATCTGTCCCAAATGAAGAGCTCTGAACCGAGACCTGCTGACGCCACCAGGGAAACCTGCAGAGCGAGGGGAGGGAGAGGCACCATACTGTGACTCACATCGCGGGCAGGAGCAATGACTTGATCGCTGTGGTGCTGCAGTGGTGTTGCATGGATGCATGCTGAAGTGCTGTTGCATGCCTGCATGCTGAAGTGCTGCTGCATTACCTTTGATTCGTAGAGAGAGGGAGGGAGAGGAACTCGCATCGCATCACGGGCGACAGCAGCGAGAGAGAGCGATGACATAGTCGTTGTGATGCTATGCTGCAGTGCTGTTGCAATACAGAGAGTGTTTTGAGACGTCTCAAAACACTTCTTCAAACACGTGACATAGTCGTTGTGATGCTATGCTGCAGTGCTGTTGCAATACAGAGAGTGTTTTGAGACGTCTCAAAACACTTCTTCAAACACGTGACATAGTCGTTGTGATGCTATGCTGCAGTGCTGTTGCAATACAGAGAGTGTTTTGAGACGTCTCAAAACACTTCTTCAAACACGTGACATAGTCGTGGTGATGCTATGCTGCAGTGCTGTTGCAATACAGAGAGTGTTTTGAGACGTCTCAAAACACTTCTTCAAACACGTGACATAGTCGTTGTGATGCTGCAGTGCTGTTGCAATACAGAGAGTGTTTTGAGACGTCTCAAAACACTTCTTCAAACACGTGACATAGTCGTTGTGATGCTATGCTGCAGTGCTGTTGCAATACAGAGAGTGTTTTGAGACGTCTCAAAACACTTCTTCAAACACGTGACATAGTCGTGGTGATGCTATGCTGCAGTGCTGTTGCAATACAGAGAGTGTTTTGAGACGTCTCAAAACACTTCTTCAAACACGTGACATAGTCGTTGTGATGCTGCAGTGCTGTTGCAATACAGAGAGTGTTTTGAGACGTCTCAAAACACTTCTTCAAACACGTGACATAGTCGTTGTGATGCTATGCTGCAGTGCTGTTGCAATACAGAGAGTGTTTTGAGACGTCTCAAAACACTTCTTCAAACACGTGACATAGTCGTTGTGATGCTGCAGTGCTGTTGCAATATAGAGAGTGTTTTGAGACGTCTCAAAACACTTCTTCAAACACGTGACATAGTCGTTGTGATGCTGCAGTGCTGTTGCAATACAGAGAGTGTTTTGAGACGTCTCAAAACACTTCTTCAAACACGTGACATAGTCGTTGTGATGCTGCAGTGCTGTTGCAATACAGAGAGTGTTTTGAGACGTCTCAAAACACTTCTTCAAACACGTGACATAGTCGTTGTGATGCTGCAGTGCTGTTGCAATACAGAGAGGAAAAGACTTGCAAGCATGGTTTTCCTTACATCGCCGGCAGCAGCAAGAGCAATGACATAGTCACTGTGGTGCCGCAGTGTGTCAGTGCACTCTCCCCTGGGAGAAAAGGCCTTCCATGTCTGGTGCATCCATGCACGCACAAGACCCACATTCCCACACAAAACACACGCATGCACACACAAGGAGAGTGGGGGGAAAGGGGATATTAGGGACAGCTGGTTAGAAGCTGCAGCAGCTGGATGCTGCTGCAGTATCATGATACGCCCTTTGCTCCCTGAAGGCAACATTCGAGTCAATGAGTCAACTGTAATGGCGCAATTCTGTGTTGGCGACCGACTGACCTTGAGGGAGCCATCGGAGGAGCACGAGACGAGCGTTTCTGCCCCCACCAACACCACGTCATTCACCTGGGAGGGTGCAGTGCAGGTGTGCGTGTGCGTGAGAGGGAAAGAGAGACCAAAGGGTGCAGGTGG